GGTGGCCGGGGGGGACGCAGCGCAAGCAGGGAGGTGGCAGCGCACGGGTGGGTGGCAGCGGGGGCAAGGGGACAGCAAGGGACCCATGGAGAGACTCCCACGTCCATGCCCATCTACAAGCCCTTGGGGTGACGGGGTGATGGCGGGGGGGTGGTGGGATGGAGGTCAGGGTTGGGGGGTGCCCCTCGGTGCGCACGGGTGGTCTCGGAGGCTCACCGGGGCGAGTAGGAGCTGCCGGGTGACCTGGGGCAACTGTCCCCATCGCTGCCCGGGGCGCTGGAGGGGACGCTGGGGTGGACGTGGCGGAGGAGGGTGTGGATGTGCTGGTTCGAGAGGCAGCAGCTGGAGGCGCGTTAGAGCCTGCAGGACAGGAGGGAGAAACGGGGCTCCCGCGTGGCCCCGGGGACACCCCGGCTTGGACCCCCCCTGCAGGTGCCACGTCACTCCTGACCTGTCCCTTGGGGCTGGGTTGGGGGGGGGACACACACACCTCGGCTCCCCCGGAGCTGCTGGCAGGCGGCGAGGGACCCCCGCGGTCCCCAAGGTGCCACGTTACGGCTCCCGGGGTGACTGCAGTGGGGTGTCCCCTGGGACCCCCCCCCACCCGCCTGGGAGGTCCCGCAGGCACCGTCCCCAACGCCAGTGACCGGCAGCGGGGTCCCGCCGGGGTGTCCCCGTCCCGCCAGCACCCTGTCCCCGTCACCTACCGTCAGCGCGTCCCCCGGCAGCGTGCAAGAGAAGAGCGGGGTTAGAAGGGGCTGCGGGGGCGAGCGGCACCAAGCGAGAGCCACCGGCCACCGGGACCGGCTACAGGGGGGGCGCAGGCCCGTTCCTCCACCCAACGGGGTGTGTGTGTGTGATTTTCTCCCCCAAAATCTCAAATATCTCCAATTTCTGCCTATTCGTGGGTTATTCCCAGTGTCCCACAGCGGCTGCGGTGCTGGGTGGGAGGGGGACAGATCCATAGAATCATAGAGTCCCACGGGGTTGGAAGGGACCTCTGGAGACCATCCAGTCCAACCCCCTGCCAGAGCAGGGTCACCCAGAGCAGGTCCCACAGGAACGTGTCCAGGCGGGTTTGGATGTCTCCAGAGAAGGAGACTCCACCACCTCTCTGGGCAGCCTCTGCCAGGGCTCTGCCACCCTCACAGGAAGGAAGTTCCTCCTCATGTTGAGGTGGAACTTGTTATACTGAAGTTTGTGCTTGTTCCCTCTTATCCTGTCCCTGGGCACCACGCTACTAAGAAACCCCCAAAGAGAGGCTGAAACGGGGCCACCCCCCTGTGGCACAGGGACGTGCCACCGTCCCCATGGCAGCCACCGTGTCCCCATCCCCCCCCCATGCTGCATATGATCAAGCATCAATGTTTAATCAGGTTAATAAGGTGCTGTCTCGCTAACGGAGATGCTGGCACTCAAAACCTGCCCGCACAGAGAGTAGCACTTGGGGACACACGGCACGGGGACGCTGTGATGCCTGGACCTCACCTGGTCACAGATGAGCTCCCACTTCTTCTCGTTGTCGTACTGGTTGAGAAGCTTCATCTTGTCTGGGGGCAGGTTCATGGAGTTCTGTGGAGGGATGGGTGTCAGGGCTGGGGGGGGGTCACCCCTAAAAATACAGGTCATTGATGAATGTATTGAAAAGGACTGGACCCAGTACTGACCCCTGAGGAACAAACATCCAGCCCTGCTCTGGGCAGGGTCTATCCCTTGCACACACACAGGGGGACGTGGCTTTGTCCCCATGTCCCCTCCCCTGCCCCCCAAAACCAGCTCTGGGGACCCATTTTTAGGAGCAGGCCTGCGTCTCCCCACCAAGCCCCTCTCCGAGCACGGCGCGGCGGGGGGTGCAGCGAGGCAGAGAGCGGGGGGACACGGCGCGGGGACCTGGGGAGGGGGGGGGACACGGGACCGCGCGTTACCTGACGGTGAGGTGCCGCACTTTGGAGGAGCCCTGGGTGGGGGACGAGGAGGTGCTTTTGTTCAGGTCCTCCAGCGACCGCTCCAGGGCCTTGCCCTTGTCAGAGCCCGGGCTGCCGTTCTCGGCGCTCTCCATGTCATACCTGGTGGCCCGTGGGGACACAGGGACGGGTGAGATGTGGCACCCCGACATGTGCAGGGGACCCCCCCACCCTGGGGTCTCCAGGGCTGGGGATGTGGGCATGGAGGTGTTGGGGATGCTCCGCTCCATCTCAGCCATGGAGCACCCCTAGCTCCATCACTCTGGTGATGGGGGAGAGCACCCCCAGGGACACCCCAAACCAGCCCCTCGGAGCCCCCAGGGGAGGCTGATCCCCCCCTTGGGGACCGAGCGCCTCGGGGAAGGGGGACCTGGTGGGGACGTACGCGACAGAGCACTGGGCGAAGGCGAGATACTCCAGCAGCACGTCCAGCCCCTTGTTCTCCTCGTTGAGGAACTCCTGGACCCAGCTGGAAGGGGGGGATGGGGATGGCAGGGGGTTAGTGGGCTCCCCCAGCCCTCCTCATCCTCCCAACTGTCCCCCCAAGCAGAGCCACCCCCAGGCCAGAGGTCCCCAGTGAAGGTGGGACACACTGGGGACATGAGGTGGCAGCAGGAGCCGGCACCTCTCTGAGGCAGGTGGGTGCCATGGTGACCCCCCCAGTCCTGATGCACGGGTAGGCGAGATACTCCAGCAGCACGTCCAGCCCCTTGTTCTCCTCGTTGAGGAACTCCTGGACCCAGCTGGGGGGAAGAAGGGACAGGGTGGCAGAGGGTTAGTGGGCTCCCCCAGCCCTCCTCATCCTCCTGACTGCCCCCCCAGCAGAGCCACCCCAGGCCAGAGGTCCCCAGCGAGGGTGGGACACACTGGGGACACGAGGTGGAAGCAGGAGCCAGCACCTCTCTGAGGCAGGTGGGTGCCATGGTGTCCCCCCCAGCCCTGATGCACGGGTGACACTGTCCAAGGGCTCCACTGCCACCACTGCCACCAGGATGGGACAGCCCAGCCCTGGGCGGTGGGACCATGGGCACCCAGGGCTCAGCACCCACCACACCATGAGGGCCCGGGACACCCAAGATGGGGACCAGGATCCATCCTGGTACCTGGGGGGGGAACCACCTGTCAGAGCCAAAATGGGGTCCTCCAGCACCCATGGTGCAGCCCTCAGAGTCACTCCAGAGGGTCAGGATGAGGCCACCAGCCTCCCCATCCCGCTGTCACTCCCACAGCCAGTCCCTGTCCCAGTAGCCGGGTGACAACGAGGACACCCTCAGGTCCCCCTTCCTTACCCGATGTAGTTGGTCCTCAAGGAAATCTCCAGCTCCCGGAGAACCTGCGTCGACTCCTGCACTCGCCTCTTGAACTGTGGGATGGGGAGATTCATTGGCACCGTCCCCACGTCCCCACAGGGATGGGGACAAGGCGGGGAAGGGGGAGCCCTCACCTTCCTGCTGACACCACCCGTGTCCAAGTAGCTCTTCAGCTTCTGGATGTAGGCGGACGGTGGGTTTTTCACCTGGAAACGCTCCTACGAACCCCCAGAGAGAGGCTGAAACGGGGCCACCCACCTGTGGCACAGGGACGTGCCACCGTCCCCATGGCAGCCACCGTGTCCCCATCCCCCCCCCATGCTGCATATGATCAAGCACTTTGTAGCCTCTGCTGTCCCCTCTCCAGCAGTTTCCTGTCCTTCTTGAACTGGGGAGCCCAGAACTGGTCCCAGTGCTCCAGCTGGGGCCTCCCCAGGGCAGAGCAGAGGGGGGGATGACCTCTCTCAACCTGCTGGCCATGCTTTTCTTGATGCCCCTCAGGATGCCATTGGCCACCTTGGCCACCAGGGCCCATTGCTGGCTCCTGGGCATCCTATTGTCCACCAGGACTCCTAGGTCTTTCTCCTCAGAGCTGCTCTCCAGCAGGTCACCCCCAACCTGTCCTGGTGCAGGGGGCTATTGCTCCCTAGGAGCAGCACCCTACACTTGCCCTGGTTGAATTTCATGAGGTTCCTCTCTGCCCAACTCTCCAGCCTGTCCAGGTCTCACTGGATGGTGGCACAGCCTTCTGGGGTGTCAGCCACCCCTCCTAGTTTTGTGTCATCAGCAAACGTGCTGAGGGGACATTCCATCCCTTCATCCAGGTCATTGATGAATGTATTGAAAAGGACTGGACCCAGTACTGACCCCTGAGGAACAAACATCCAGCCCCACTCTGGGCAGGGTCTATCCCCTGCACACACACACGGGGACGTGGCTTTGTCCCCGTGTTCCCTCCCCTGCCCCCCAAAACCAGCTCTGGGGACCCATTTTTAGGAGCAGGCCTGCGTCTCCCCACCAAGCCCCTCTCCGAGCACGGCGCGGCGGGGGGTGCAGCGAGGCAGAGAGCGGGGGGACACGGCGCGGGGACTTGGGGAGGGGGGGGACACGGGACCGCGCGTTACCTGACGGTGAGGTGCCGCACTTTGGAGGAGCCCTGGGTGGGGGACGAGGAGGTGCTTTTGTTCAGGTCCTCCAGCGACCGCTCCAGGGCCTTGCCCTTGTCAGAGCCCGGGCTGCCGTTCTCGGCGCTCTCCATGTCATACCTGGTGGCCCGTGGGGACACAGGGACGGGTGAGATGTGGCACCCCGACATGTGCAGGGGACCCCCCCACCCTGGGGTCTCCAGGGCTGGGGATGTGGGCATGGAGGTGTTGGGGATGCTCCGCTCCATCTCAGCCATGGAGCACCCCTAGCTCCATCACTCTGGTGATGGGGGAGAGCACCCCCAGGGACACCCCAAACCAGCCCCTCGGAGCCCCCAGGGGAGGCTGATCCCCCCCTTGGGGACCGAGCGCCTCGGGGAAGGGGGACCTGGTGGGGACGTACGCGACAGAGCACTGGGCGAAGGCGAGATACTCCAGCAGCACGTCCAGCCCCTTGTTCTCCTCGTTGAGGAACTCCTGGACCCAGCTGGAAGGGGGGGATGGGGATGGCAGGGGGTTAGTGGGCTCCCCCAGCCCTCCTCATCCTCCCAACTGTCCCCCCAAGCAGAGCCACCCCCAGGCCAGAGGTCCCCAGTGAAGGTGGGACACACTGGGGACATGAGGTGGCAGCAGGAGCCGGCACCTCTCTGAGGCAGGTGGGTGCCATGGTGACCCCCCCAGTCCTGATGCACGGGTGACACTGTCCAAGGGCTCCACTGCCACCAGGATGGGACAGCCCAGCCTTGGGTGGTGGGACCATGGGCACCCAGGGCTCAGCACCCACCACACCACGAGGGCCCGGGACACCCAGGATGGGGACCAGGATCCATCCTGGCACCTGGGGGGGACCCACCTGTCAGAGCCAAAATGGGGTCCTACAGCACCCATGGCACAGCCCTCAGAGCCAAAATGGGGTCCTCCAGCACCCATGGTGCAGCCCTCAGAGTCACTCCAGAGGGTCAGGATGAGGCCACCAGCCTCCCCATCCCGCTGTCACTCCCACAGCCAGTCCCTGTCCCAGTAGCCGGGTGACAACGAGGACACCCTCAGGTCCCCCTTCCTTACCCGATGTAGTTGGTCCTCAAGGAAATCTCCAGCTCCCGGAGAACCTGCGTCGACTCCTGCACTCGCCTCTTGAACTGTGGGATGGGGAGATTCATTGGCACCGTCCCCACGTCCCCACAGGGATGGGGACAAGGCGAGAACCTGCGTCGACTCCTGCACTCGCCTCTTGAACTGTGGGACGGGGAGAGCCATTGGCACCGTCCCCACATCCCCACGGGGATGGGGACAAGGGGAGGGAAGGGGGAGCCCTCACCTTCCTGCTGACACCACCCGTGTCCAAGTAGCTCTTCAGCTTCTGGATGTAGGCGGACGGTGGGTTTTTCACCTGGAAACGCTCCTAAGAAACCCCCAAAGAGAGGCTGAAACGGGGCCACCCACCTGTGGCACAGGGACGTGCCACCGTCCCCATGGCAGCCACCGTGTCCCCATCCCCCCCCCATGCTGCATATGATCAAGCATCAATGTTTAATCAGGTTAATAAGGTGCTGTCTCGCTAACGGAGATGCTGGCACTCAAAACCTGCCCGCACAGAGAGTAGCACTTGGGGACACACGGCACGGGGACGCTGTGATGCCTGGACCTCACCTGGTCACAGATGAGCTCCCACTTCTTCTCGTTGTCGTACTGGTTGAGAAGCTTCATCTTGTCTGGGGGCAGGTTCATGGAGTTCTGTGGAGGGATGGGTGTCAGGGCTGGGGGGGGGTCACCCCTAAAAATACCCCCCCAGGGCTGTGGCACCCACAGCTCACCCAGCACCAGGTGTCCTTGCTCAGCAGTGGGAGGACGGGGACATTGGTGAAGGCTGAAACGGGGCCACCCACCTGTGGCACAGGGACGTGCCACCGTCCCCATGGCAGCCACCGTGTCCCCATCCCCCCCCCATGCTGCATATGATCAAGCATCAATGTTTAATCAGGTTAATAAGGTGCTGTCTCGCTAACGGAGATGCTGGCACTCAAAACCTGCCCGCACAGAGAGTAGCACTTGGGGACACACGGCACGGGGACGCTGTGATGCCTGGACCTCACCTGGTCACAGATGAGCTCCCACTTCTTCTCGTTGTCGTACTGGTTGAGAAGCTTCATCTTGTCTGGGGGCAGGTTCATGGAGTTCTGTGGAGGGATGGGTGTCAGGGCTGGGGGAGGGGGGTCACCCCTAAAAATACCCCCCCCAGGGCTGTGGCACCCACAGCTCACCCAGCACCAGGTGTCCTTGGTCAGCAGTGGGAGGATGGGGACACCAGTGGGAGGATGGGGACATTGGTGAGAGGATGGGGACACCAGTGGGAAGATGGGTTGGACTCAATGATCCCAAGGGTCTTTTCCAACCTAAATGATTCTATGGTTCTATGGGGACACTGGTGAGAGGATGGGGACACCGGCGGCAGGATGGGGACACTGGTGGGAGGATGGGGGCATCAGTGGGAGGATGGGGACACCAGTGGGAAGATGGGGACACCAGTGGGAAGATGGGTTGTACTCAATGATCCCAGGGGACTTTTCCAACCTAAATGATTCTATGATTCTATGGGGACACCGGTGGCCCTAAATGATTCTATGATTCTATGGGGACACTGGTGGCAGGATGGGGACACTGGTGAGAGGATGGGGACACCAGTGGGAGGATGGGGACATCAGTGGGAGGATGGGGACATCAGTGGGAGGATGGGCTGGACTCAATGATCCCAGGGGACTTTTCCAACCTAAATGATTCTATGATTCTATGGGGACACTGGTGGCAGGATGGGGACACTGGTGAGAGGATGGGGACACCAGTGGGAGGATGGGGACACCACCATTCCCACCATGTCAGCTTCCCACCAGCCATGGACCCATCAGCAACGTCCCCACCTGGGGGTCCCCGAGGCGTAGGGCAGGGGGTGTTAGTGGGGGGACAAGAGGCAAAACTGGACCCATCCATCCATGTCACGAGTGCATAATGCTCCTGGCCTCAGCCAGGCCAGTCTCAGCAGAGCTACTTGGGGTGAGGGACGAGGACACGGGCTGGTGACACAACTGAGGAACCCAAGAGTCTGGGCCCTGCTCGAGGGTGACGGTCACCCCCGAGTCCCCCCACAGCGGGTGCGTGACGAGCCCGGCGGGTGAAATCAGTGTTTCTTTACAGACATTATGTCAGGGCAGGGTCTGGCGTGTCACCACATCCCTCTGTGCCACTGTTGCACAACAAGGGCCCCCGCTGCCCCCCCCCGGACACCCTGGCAAGACGTGACGTGGTTTCCGCTCCCCGAACGGCACGAGGCGGCTGCCAAAACTGCTCCGTGCCACGGCCGGGGGCTCCGGGGGGGCCCGGGTGCAGCTCCTGCCTCTGGGGTGCTCGAGGACACAGCGGGTCCCCAAGGGACACCGTGGGGCAACCAGCAGAGCCTTTAATGGGCCACCATCGCTTGGGTCATACTGGGAGCTCAGCCCATTTAATTGCCCAAAATACCCATTTCTTGGAGGTCTGGCCCCCAGGGAAAAGCAGGAGCTGAGGCAGGTCCTGGCCCAGAGAGCCCAGACAAGCTGGCACGATGGCACAGGGAGGTGACACACAGCCCCAAGTCACCCTTAACCTCCATTTTTGGGTTCCCCAGACGCTGAGGATGGGGATGTGGGGGTGCACGCACCCCTGGGCCACACACATCCTTGAGGAAAAGGCATCTCACAGGGGTTTGGTTGCCCGCAGAGGAGCAGGTCCAGGAGGAGAGGTGCCACAGCAGCAGAGGGGAGCGGAAACCTCAGCGCCTGCCTCCACCAGGGACCTGCCGAGCTGCTTTCATAAGAAGCCAAAACCAAGGGGAACGTGGGCGGAGAGGAGCCAGCACTCAGCTGGATGTGGCCAGGGGACAGCTCGCACGGAGAGCTGGGCAGGGAGGGTACAATTAGGCTGCGGGGTCAGAAATAGCCTCGGTGGGAAGCTGCTGGGGCTGCACTGGAGCTGCCAGGTGGGTCCCGGGATGGGCAAGGTGACAACAGCGCCCAGATGTCCCCAGTGCTGGGGAGGCCTGTCCTCATGGTCTCCAAAGTGTCATCCTCGGGATGGA